CCTTCGATTCAACATTTTTTTATTTAGTCATTAAAAATATAATATAAATATAATCAATTTAGTTAGTTTATGTATCATGTGTGCATAATTACATTATTATATTTATTTGTTTTTAATTTTAAATTAAAAAATAATAATTTTTTAATAACTAAATTGAAAAGTATTGAATGAATATTGAATCGAAAGTTGTTGAATGAATATTAAATCGAAAGGTGTGCCAATCATCGTCCTTTGTCTTTACGTCACTTCATGGTCAATTAATCCTACTTGAGTGTCCTTAATGAGGCTTGCTTGTACCCTAATTGTTTGATTTGCAATTGTGTTATTCTGGGAGTGCACCGCTGGGGTGTCCTTCCCTATTTTAGTTAATATATAGTATGGTATCTGATTTGTTGATAAAAAAAATGTCCCCACCTCGTGGATTTTATTTCTTTATTACCCTGTCAAGTGCTCATTTCTTGTCATTTCTATTTATAATTTTCGTATCTTATTAAAAAATAAATTTATAAATAATATTACAAATTTTAACAAAATTAAAAATTAAAAATTAAATATAAAGTTATATAAGAAAATTATACTTACCCAATAGAAAAAAGAAGTTATCCGTAATTCATTAATTAATGGGTCGTGAATCATACGGAGCTCACAATAATTAATTCATTAATTAATTCTAATATATCTTTTGATAAGGAAAAAGTTTCATGACATTATTACTTTTCAAATACTTAAATATTATATATTAATCAGTAATAATATTTACCTAATTTCCATGGTACTTCCGCTTTCACCGACAACGTCTTTTCAGTCCACCTTTCGGCGAGTCAATTGTTCACATCCCTTCCGAGTTTTACATGTATTCACAATTCCCAAAATATTTATGATGTTTACTTGTACATTTGAATATGTAACACCCTCTCACAATAATATACTTTATATTTGAATATTTATATTTGAATTTTTTCCTAAAAAGGGATATGATTAACGTTGCCTCTCTCTGTCATTAGTTAATTAATTTTTTTGCATTTCACATGTACCAAAAAAGAAAAATTTATAAAAACTTCGATTTTTTACCTCTTCTGTCAAAAAAATCCCTATCCTATAACACATCTCCTCTTTTCTTAGATTGCGAGCTTCTTAGGATACTCTTAAGTATGCTCTTGTCGTTAGGGGGATTTGTGTAGCTTTTCTGCTTTCAAGGGTTTTTTTTTTTTTTTTTGTAGATTTTAATAAGGACCTTTATCCTCCTTTAGTTTCTAATGGTTGTTTTGTTGCAATTGATTGATTTATATAATATGTGATGTTTATGGATCATTTCTAATATTAAATTTATAGATATTTTTTAAGTAGATACGAAAAGTGATATATAATAAGAAAAAAATCTTTTCAAGTGGTTTCTTTAATTTTTTTTTTTGAACAACAAAAATAATATTTATTGAAAAATGAAGTACAAGGGATATGTCAAACTAATAAACATCCTAACTTGAAAGCATAAATTTACATAGTCAAATAGCCCTTTTGTTTGATGTCAACACCAAAATTATGTATCAACACGACGTCGGTGTCATTTTGGATGCTTACCGCATAGTGTCGACACCAAAATTATGTGTCGACACCACACCCGTGTCAGGTTTCTGTCCTCTTTTGCAATTTCTTCATATCCCACCTTGTTGCCGTAGCTCATTTCCAAGCAACCAGCCGGGTTGTGGAACCAGTATTTTCCTCTTGCCTTTTGAGGGCCTTGTGCTTAGTGTAGGTTCCTGCAACCAAGTGGGTTCTTCAATTAATCGTCATTGTTGATATTCTTAGGGATTCCATGAAGGTTGAGATTCCCATCTTCTTCGTCGTTTTATTATATCATGTAAGAATCTCATAGTGATGGATTGAAGTGGAATTAAATACAGATCTTTTATGATACCTTTTTCCTTGCTAAAATCTTTTTGTTTGGGTTGTCTAAGAAATTTGTATGATGAATGCAATTTCTAGTTACCTATCAAACCAAATAATAGATTTTCTTAAATTTTATCTTCAAACTAAGAATTTGGGTATAATTTATATTTTTACCTATATTACCTAACTTAAAAAAAAAAAGGACAATAATTGGTATACACTCCGATTCAACTAATTTCACAATACACTTATTAAAAAGTTAATATATATTTTTTATCTTGATAACACAATGGGAGGCAACCATCTCTCATCCCTTATCACATTCCATTCGTATGTCATGCGATTCGAACTCAGGATCTCTTACTTCTAGCAGAAAGAGATGATCACTAAACTATTTAGGTCGTTGGCAAAAATTTCTATTTTTGAATATGAAATTAGTTTAAAATTAAAAGCAAATAAATTTAAAAATATAATCATATACACAGGATATAAGAACTGATTGAATTAACTGTATTTATATTATATTTTTAATAGTTGAATCGAAAGTGTGTTTTTATATATGTTGAACGTATTGAAAGTATACAAATCATTTTTCTTAAAAAAAATCATATAGGTGAAAAAAAAAAAAGAAGACATTTTTTATGATGAAAATATTTGTCTCTCTTAAAATACTCCATCCCTTTAACTTTAATAGTTCTAATTTTTAATTTGTGGCATTTAAATTTAGATTTTGTTTAATATGGTTATGATTTTTTGTTATATTTTTTAAAATTTTTTGCAACTTTAGACGAAAAACCTCATTTTCTCATTTATTTTTATAATATATTATCATAATTATTACATAAATAAAAATAG